TACCTAACTTATCTTCCAGCAAATTTAGTGTATCTGTTTTAATATTTAGATCTTCAATCCACTTCAATCTTAGTTTAGTGCATGGTGATAGATATGGGTCTAGTTTTAATCTTTGGGAGGTTGAAATCCAGTTTTTCCAACACCATTTATGAAACAGGCTATCTTTCCTCCAATGAGGATGGTTCGCTCCTTTGTCAAAGATGAGGTGGCTGAGTATGTCTGCAGTTGTTTCTTTCTTTCTTTTTTTTTGGTACCAGGGATCAAACTCAGGTCCTTGTGCTTGTGCAGCAGGTGGTGAAACCACTGAGCTAAATCCTCGGCCTGTCTGCAGTTGTTTCTGCATCTTCTAATATATCTGTTCCACTGATCCTCTGTCTGTTTCTTTGCCAGTACCATGGTGTTTTTATTACAGTGGCTTTGTAGTATAGTTTCAAGTTGGGGATTGTGATACCCCCTGTCATGTCATACAGAGTTCTCTGATATCTCAGTTACTCTTTTATGACCATTCTTTAAATTTTTCCTTGCTTAAATCACTGCATGGTTTCTGTATCTTGATTTGACCCACATGATTCAAAAGGGAACAGAAAAGTAGTTTCCAACCAAATGACAGGAAAAAGACCACCACCCTCTAGATTAGGACTCACAACCTATCCATGAGATTAATAGTCTTGCCAGGGTAGTGAAATTCCTCAGTGTGTGACAGAAGCTTGGTTTCCTATACAATTTGGTTTGACTAAGCTGGAACTGAAAAGATGATGTTTAGTTGGAGGAGGGTTTCCTCGAAATTCCTGAAGCTTGGGAATCTGACTGTCATTGATAAATCATGGGACCAACAAATTAAAAAAAATTTTTTTCAAGCTGCTTTCAGTTATCTATTCTAATAGGTTATCTTTCCTTTTCTTCTCAAAGGTCATCGATAATAGATTATATGGCAGTTTGGTATTCTCTATCTTTTCTTCTTCTCCCTCTTCCCCCAAAGACATTAGAAATAACTTCTTACAGATTAACTAGTCCACACCTCCTAACCCCCATTTTACAAATAAGTAAGACACAGAGAGATAAAGTGACTGGTAAAAGTTTATCAATGTAGTTAATAGCAAAAAACGACTAAAAACAAAATCTATTATTTTTCAGGCTGGTGCTCATTCTACTACAAACACCACCATTCAGAAGGTTTACCCTATAAAAGAATGTCTATAATATTACAGTTAGAAAATAATAAAAGATAGCTTTTTTCTTTCAGTGTTCTTATGATTTGAAGTAACTGAAAGTAATCTTATGAAATTTTCAACTAAAATTAAGCATTTAAGCTGTGGTTAAAGTAATCATTCATAAATAATAATTTATGATATATGAGAACTATCCTGGGTATTTATT